CACACACACACACACACACACACACACACACACACAGACAAACCAACAGACACACTTAGCGCGTTATATATAGTAGGAAGACAGCATCAGAAGGGTCGCTGTCTGACTCGTAAAAAGAGATGATCCGCCGCTGCAGTCTAAACTAGAACAGTATTTGATGAAGGTTTTGTTGTGCTGCTCTTACGAATAGCGAGAAATATTGTACGACGAGTTCCGACACGCCAGGCATTCACGTCCACCAAAAAAGGCGGGCAGCTTCAGGGACTCGCTCATGTAGTTGAAGCAGAGCCGCCGAGAAGAGTTTTTTTTCTAGCACCTGCATGACAGCGCTCGGTATCACGTCAAACTGTCATGCAGAATAGTTTACAGGAGTACGGCTTAATTACCGTTCCTCACCCTTTCTATTCCCCTGCCTTCACCCTTTCTGACCATCACCTTTATGCACCTCGAGCAGCAGGAGGTGAGGCAGTCGTGGTGACCCGCAGGGGCTGTGGGTCTCTTTTGGGCCCGCAGTCCTCTTTTTCTTGGCTCAGCGAATAGTAGATGGAGGTGAATCCGAACCTCTCAATACTTCCACATTAACCAAAGATTTAGTCACAGTGGTCTCTGCAGGCCAATAATCTATAAACAATGGTTTCATTTTTAATTTAAGCATTAGTTACTCTTTAATTTCTTTTTCTCAGCTGCAAACTGTTTCTGAACTCTCCTGCACTGCGTGTGGCGAACAGTCTGCAACATTCGAAGAGTGTAGCTTGATAACTGTTGAGTTGCCGGAGCACGCGTCTCGTACGAGTTTGCACCATTGCCTCAGCAGCCATTTCTCGCAAACGGTGAGTGGTTATTCGCTGTTTACTGCTTAACTTATGTTTTTGCTCCAGTAGAAATAGTTTTTGATGATTACATGATTGGAACAAAAAAAGATAAGATGGTGAAGCCGTTTAGGCGACTGCTAGATCCTGCAGCGCTGGAATGCAAATGCTAATGGTTTCTTCACGCGTAGGCGACATGACAAAATACAGAGGGGCCACAAAGCCTGCTCCGCCAGTTTTACATGTTCTTTAGTAACCTATAAGTTCCAGTTTCAGCCGACGTTAAAAGAACAGTTGTACGGATGTTGATTATACTAGAGTTCTGCGCTCTCCCGTTTGCAGTGTGGGCGTGATTTATAGCTGCTGGGATACTAGAACGAAGGGGTAATGCAAATAGAAGTGAGCATGATCGTCACCTCAGTAGCAAAGGAGATCATTATGGTAACCAGTTGGGCGTCGTACGCTAGCCGCGCATCACATGTCCGCAATCGCTTGTGTGTCGACTGTGCTTCCGTGCGTGCGCTCGACCGACTGACGATTTTGCTGGCTATCTGTTGACATCACTGGACATCGATGGATCACATGTCAGTGTTGTCAGTGAAAGGGTAGCGCCGCTGTCGGTCGGTCAGTCGGTCGGACGCACGTACCGAAAGCACACCGGTGGACTCTGAATACAGCCACTACTCCCTCACCGCGCTCACGTGACATTTCACACTCTTCATCGCACCTTTAGCGGACACACAAATCGACACACAAATTTAGCGCTTTTTATATTGAAAGATACTTGGTGACAATAGCAACAGGGGAGTCTTCGTTTGACCCTAATCTCTGTAAAGATTGAATGAAAGCTACATCAATTCTTTTGTCCTCTTCTAAGTTGTTTGCTGTATGTTTTTTTCCTTCTTCGGTTGTAATGTAAAGCTTTCATAGACCTTGGATGGTGATTGTCGCTGGAACTGCCCTAAGTGTCGAGCTCCGAAACCAGCTTCCCGCTTAACCAAGCTTTGGTCTCTTCCGCCTGTTGTGGTGCGTCCTTTTTATTAATATATGTTCATTTCCTTGATAAATATGCGGATTTTTTAAACTGCCTACCGAGCAACGTTTTTTGCCATGGCTCTGCAGTTGTTCTGCTTGTCTTGTTTATTTTAGTACTCTGACCTTCATATTGTTTATACAGTGTAGCACATCGCTCTTTTTCCTTTGAGCATGGACCGCTTGTTGTGATTGGATGGGACATTTTCCGTTGCTTATGTCCCCTTCAACTTGGCAGGCTTTTAAGCCTCGCACTTTTCATTTATTATTTTTAGGTGGTTCATCTTAAGCGCTTTTCCATGGAAAATGGAGACTATGCTAAGAATACTATGCCTGTTGAATTTGATCCTGGTCGACTTGATCTTTCTGAATATTTGCACGAGTACTCACCTGAATCAGCAGAGCCATATCGGCTGTATGCAGTCACGGTTGGTCTCGTTCATTTAGCTTCTTCTCTTTCCATAACCCACGGAATGTAAGCATATTTTGTCACCATTGACTGGATTCAGTGACCTATCGTTTTATTGTTGTAGTTCTTCTGTTGCAGATTTAGACAAAACACCATCTCCAATGCGCTCATTCTGTCAATTCGTTGACGCTTTCGCATTTCAGCGCAGAATTTCTTACAAACTTGAAAATCTATTCACCAGGATGTCGATAAAGTGGGAAACGTTAGATGCGCACTCGACCATGAGCAGCGTATGAAGGCGCCCACATGAGCATATACGGTAGAGCCCTTTCGAGAATCTCAAGGGAGGTACTAGTATAAACTGAGCTATTGGTGGGTAGTGTTCATATCCTGACATCGAAGCATGCGTCTCGTATCTCTATATATCTGAAATTGGGCCGTTGATAGAGTCCTCTCACCTCAACCCTCAAAGATTTGACAACACTGTCAAAATGACTCATGATTTCGATTTTTGTTTCATAAACGCTCTTCAGAATCACTGCGGTCGGCTCAATAGTGGTCACTACACGGCTCTAGTTTGTCATGGAACAACGGGTGAATGGCTGCGATTTGATGATGAGAGCGTTTCGTCCTCTTCCGCTAGTGGCATAAATGTGGGTATTTCAGAGATTAGTAGTTACTCTGTGCCAACCAGAGTCACCATCGAGAATGCTCTGTGCAGTTCAAAAAAAAAACTATTTTCAGACTTCCGAAGCGTATATGTTGTACTACAAAAGATCGTGATCATTGATAACTGTGATGAATATGTAAATCATATAATAGGAAAGGGAATTTATTCAATAAACACGTGGTGCTATTTTAAAGTCATTGTTCGAATAAANGACGAGGTTTCGCAAGCTTGGCATATATTTGATAGGATTTAGTTATCTCCCCCTGTCTCATAATTGTTAATTAGATACTTCCAGTAGTAGAGAATTTGTAATTGTTGCAACCGAGCTTTCAATTCATCCCTCTTTGTTCCACGGAATGTACTACGTAATTCGTTGTTGTGCGAGTGTAG